GGACTCGGCACCTTAGTCTGAGGGTGCCTCCGCACAAGATTGCGCTGTATCATCTTTCCTACCCTTTGCCCGTGTGTTCTCGGTCAGTGCACGGGCTGATCAACAAATACAACATCTGTGACAATCTTAAAGCTATGTAACGTGGAGCTTTCTTTGTAAGTAGTATGTTGTATACATAAGATGAAAGCGTTGTAGATTACCTACGAGGTGCTATATATAGTGCTATTGGGCCGGAACAACCCTATACGTTGCCACAACATCCAATAGCCACAGGAGGGCGTTAAGGTCAAAGCGGAAGACAAGATATGTATTCTTGATGGTGAACTCAGCTGGGAGCTATGGCACATAATATCTTAGATTTTATAAGTGGACGCTTTTAGAGAAGTTTTGCTAACATAGATAGCGCTAAACTTGCAAAGAAAGAAATTGAGCAGCCTCGCCAGCATTCGCGCCGTAAGTGAGATGAGCTGCGGTGATCACAAGTGTGTCGTCGCAAACGAGATCCCCCGGCGCACAAATAACCTTCGTCTGAACTGGCGGATAACCTGGAATCTGTCCTTTGTCCTGTGCGTTTCGAGTATAGCCAAAAAGGACAACTCCCTTGATCTTGTCCTGGATCTCCTGTGACTGTGCCTGAATGGAAGCATCCACGACGGCGGTTCCCTGGCTGTCAGACAAGAACGGATTAATAATCCTCACCACTGTTAAGAGAGTGTGCATGGCCCTACCTGTAACCGGCAGCGAGGATGGTTGAATTTGGGCATTTGCTATTTGCAAGTTGGAACATGTCGTTGGCGGCAGATATGGCGGCGGGACTGGTGTTTTGGGGCAGGAAGTTGTCAGATATCGTGGCTAAGTAGGCCCCGCCGATGCCCTGGCACGCAACCTTGTCTTCACCGAGCTGCTTTTGAAGATCGTCACAAGTCTGTGGTCCACAAATCGTTCCCTAGTAGACAAGGCATAACAGTTAGCAACCACTGACTTGCACTGGCTAGTAGAAAGATTGTCTATGGCGGAAAGAGAAAAATTCTGGTATACCATGTTTCCTGGTTCGGTGGAACCCCTAGCGAAGATGAAAGTGATATCTCTACAGTCCCCATTCTGAAGATCGTTGCTATTGATATTGATAGCCTGGCGAGACTGAATGTCGTTGGAAGCCCAGACAGGAATTCTGCTTGCACCAGTGAGGCACAGAAAGGGAAAAACTGTGAGAAGAAACTTCATATTGAGAAAGATCACATTCACTGATACGAATTCGTATTCAGCGGATTCTTGGAAGCAATGGATCGTTGGGTAGATGGAGGATAGTAAGACGAAGTTGACAATTCTTCAATAGTGCGTCTCAACTTAATATATCAAGTCCACACCACATGGTCTCCGTCCCAAGTCACCCTCGGGCTTTTGACATGCTTTGAGGCGTATTTCTTCAAAGTTACTGTCTTCGGTAACCAACTCACGTACCAAGTCTCCCACAGGATTGCTATGAAAAATCATCCATACCGGAAGCGGTCATGGAAGCGAAAATGTATTATAGGCTGAGCTGTGGCATCAGTGCCCCCTAGACGGGTGGCCGTTTTGCGAAGGACGTATATTGGATACAATCTTGATAATTCAGCAGTTCTGATTGATTTATTAGATGGTTGTTCTCCGACAATGGAGGCGTACATTCGCGACTATTCTTTTTCGATACACAGTTGCGAGCCGGGATAAAAGGCAGATTGGACGCCAAGTATAACCTCATTGGAGATGCTAGTCCAATCAAATCGCGCAATCTTTTCTCAGGGCTTTTCTCAACTTATTATTTGTCACTTGAGCGGCCAAGTTATCGACTGGAGCCACAGACGCTGTCATGAAACATACCCTGAAACAAAGCGCCAAACAAAGGCGTTGCTCAGCCACGAGCCGAGAAAAGCAGATATGCTGCATACAAAGAGTAATAGATAATTGGTTCCGTACGATCAATTACTGACTCCAGCATTTGAAAATTATTGTTGTCACGGTCTGTCACTGTAGACTGATGTTTTATCACCATGGAAGCTTGCAGTTGGGATGCTTGGTAGAACGCTCTCGTCTTATAAGTCAGCTGCGCTGGAGTTACAGGCCAGATCCCTCTCATCGGAAATCAAGGTTGCATTAAGCAGCAAAATCTATAGCTACGGCTTCGGGGTGGCGGACAGTGCTAAGAGACGAAAACTTGTATTATATAACTATGGCTGTAGACCAACTAATTCTCCTGGTGGTGGAAACTCTGTGCCGATAAGCTCTTGAAAGCCAAATACAAATTCACGATCGTTTACTAGGTCAGCTTCGACGTGTCTTTCTGTATGTGGCGCATATAGTGAGGGTGCTGTCGGAGAAGGTTGGACTAAGCAGGGCCTGCCATCAATAACGTGCATGTGATCAGCATTGATGCCCGGGCTAATCCAGAAAACCATGTTCGGATCAAGCTCTGTTTTCAAGGCGGAGAGACGAGGATAATTTGAGCCCCAGAAGTGATTACTCCAATTCGGCTCGTCTGTGCTGGCCTGCAATCTATTAGCTGGATGTACTGTAGTTTAAAGGACGAATGTGACATTCAACAGACCTCGTTGATATAAGTTCCCATTTCGGGCGCGAACTCCCTTAATCCGTCAACATTAGTTGTGTTGGTCTTCCAGCCAACAAGGAAGACCGTGGCATTCCTCCACCCTGGATTGGCAGCAGTGTTCTTGCCGTCACCTTGTGTCATACCTGGTGTAGTCATCAGGACGCCCATACTTCCTGCTGTTCCTCGCAAGGCATATGTGAGGTTTTTGCTTTGCAAATGTGCGGCGCTTAGAAGATGACTATCGAATGGAACTATCCCGTGGCTTGTCGGTGGGCCAAGATTCTCTGCTCGCCCATACGTCGTATTAAAGAAGTCCTCATAGCCATTGAAGAGAAAATGCTTGCTTTGGAACGCCGTCATCCCAGGAATGGACTGCATTTTGTTGAGGATCGGACCCCAGATAGCGTTGGCATCAGCAACGTTGGCCCGCTCGCCTGTGTGGATCGCATGACATCTTATATGGTCATCTTGGACGTAGAAGTAAGCCGAAACATTCCCCAGACTGTGAACTCCTGGAAGTTGAGAAAATAAGTACGCCATGGCCTCACTAGTCTGTGTGCGGCCGGTAGCTGGGTCCGTGATATTTGCCGGCAACGTCGAATTGATATACCAGTGAAAGCCAAGTACGGGTGTCTTGGCGTGAAGTTTCCAAGTCGCTTCCACGACGACACCAAATGTGCTTCCACCACCTCCCCTTATCGCCCAGAAAAGTTCGGGGTTGGAGATATCATTCGCAACTCTTAGCTCGCCATCAGGAGTAACAATCTTGGCCTCGAGCCATTGGTCCACTCCTAGACCGTACTGTGCAGTGAAAGGACCATAGCCGCCGTTCTGGCCCCATCCCCCAGCTGCGGCCACTCCGGCTGATTTGATTCAGCAATGTTGCTAGTGGCCTCGAAAGAGATGGAGGAAATAATTACCATGTGTGCCACCGACCAGGAAGAGGCCAGATGCATCAAGTGCCGTGTTGAGATCGAGGCTATTGACAGCCGGATTGAATGTCACCGCTGCTTGCTCGCCGGGTATAGGAGTAATTGTTTGAACGGACTCATTGCCATGTAGATTTTCAACCCCTTCCGCCGTCGCCTTGAAAGATGCTGATACACGGGCACCCTGGAGCAGGGAAACATCAATAATGAGACCAGAACCGGCAATATTTCGACCTAGCTGGTCATGGCCTGTTGTCATGACCGAGACTCGCACTTCTTTTGATGCGGCAAACCTCACTGCAGCTTGTACATCTTGGTAGCATTTAGCACGGATACGATAATCTGGTAGTGGCCCTAAACTGTCGGCGTTGTTTTGCGTTTCGACTCCAGGAATGGCCTCACGCCACTCTTGCAACGTTGGCCAGTCGGCGTCCGAGGGTAATCTACGGCACCCAGGGAGAGCGCGAGCAGCGTAGACTATGGCAGCGTCAAGCGCCAGCCAAGAAACGTGAAACAAAGAAGAGCCCTTCATGGCCGTCACCGTCCGGGATGATTAAATGTTTGATACTGCTAGGAACCCTATGGTGAGAGTATTTATATATGCCCAACGTTTATGATCGACGTGCCTTCCATATTCACGGATCAAGCTTGTTGTCCGTTGTAAATTAGCAAGGCCGATTTGAATTATCGAAAACGCCTCGTGTTGTGGTCGGTGCAACACTACATGTCTCTCGAGTGTAGTTCTGGTTTGAATCTAGGTTGGCTAGGTTGCAGGGCTACATGATACCCCTGGTATGCGGAAGCCGATCTAAAGTTCTATAAATTCATGTTTTTAGATCTTGAACCCCCGGCCTCTTTCTCGCTCTCGCATATCCCTTTGATTTGTTGCCAACTAAGAACATCTTATATGTGCGGGGATGATGTCCACCAAAGATAGATCTATCCGTTGTAGATCGTAATCTTTCAGGAGAATGAAAGCATGTGACGGACCGAAAGGGGACATTGGGTGAACGCATGTGATGTATGCCAAGTCTAGCTAAGCGGAGATGGCTTACAACTGCCGGATGCCTAGCCATGGAAGAAAACTTTGTTCCATCGTCTCAAGGAGAAGTTTTCACCTGCCCGCTTTAGATACAAATTAAATTGTGTACCTTGAATTAATAATGCCAGATGGTAACTACCTGTCGAAATACATCATGCAAGGTAAACATATCAATTGATGAGGCCATTTCTGCCATGCTGGAATGGTTGCGTTACGGAATTGTCGGCACGCTTGAATGAATATCTAGAGTAAAGAACAGCCAAAAAAGCTATGAGCTAGCACTGCACGAAAAAAAAAAAAAAAAAAATACAAGTTCTTACCGATTCGCCAACATACGGCTTGGATGAATCGGTACAGAGCTTAATCAATGATTTACAAGTGTGTATAATGAAGCTATTCCAGTAGGCCTTCATCTTATTAAGTTAGCGCGAGAGTTTCTAAGCCAAGGCAACCTTGGCACCCCCGGGCACTAGCTCGGTGAAGACCAGGTCAGGATCGTACTTGTCCCTAATGGCCTTGAGCTTCCGCAAATTCTTGGCTCCATACGCAGGGTATGTCTCAGGGATCTGGGACTTCTGGATGTCACTGAGGTACATGAACTGGAGCGGGCCGAGGCCGACAGCAGCGAGTTTCTCCCGGATTTTAGCGTTCGCCACCGCGTGCACTCCAAGCACGCGCTCATCGTCTTCTGGATTCGACCACAGAGGAGCTTCGACATACCAGATCGCAGGACTGTCGTCACGTCCCAGACCCATAGCGTTTTCAGGAGCTGCAGTCACAATGGGGGTTATCGGAAGCATATTGAAAGCGGTCGAGAACCCTTCGACGTCCGCTAAAGACGCAACTGACTCGTAGTATGTGTCGAAAGCGATTCTTGCAGCTGTAGCATTGGCCTTGCTTGTCAACCAGTGAAATGATGCTCGGGTGCCAAGAAGAGGAGCATAATTGAACTCATTTGTCCATGCGCCCATGGTCGTTCGCGTGATGTTCCCCCTTGTGATGGGTAAGATAGGTGCAGTGAAATTTTCCAGTCCAACGGGAACATCACCCTCGCCGCTATACCACAGATATCCGTCAAATGAGATATCACTGCTGCGTGAAGGTACCCAGCGCGTCTGGCCCTCGAAAGAAGCCTTTGGATATTCCGCGCCATGGAGTGCAAACTGCTCGACACCTTTGATGTATTTTTCGGAGACATTGGCTCCCCAAGAGACTGTTCCGATGAGTGCCGAAGAGATCGGGATAGTATTGAGAACTGCCTGCGTGACGATGCAGAAGTTGTTGCCGCCTCCGACCAGAGCCCAGAACAGGTCGGGATGCTCTTCAGCACTGGCAGTCACCAGACTTCCATCAGCAAGGACGCACTGAGTGATAATCAGAGCTTGTCAGCTAGGCATGGCTTAGGATGTCCACGGTAGGATATCACTTACATCTAAAGATTTTGCAGCGTTCGACATCCCAAATTCATACGCCATGAAACCGAAGGGACCTCCTCCAAGAATTGCACCAATGACACCACCATCACCAGAGCGAATACCGTTGGCAGTGACACCATACTTGTCCAGATACGCATACAACGGAGGCCATGTAATACCAGACCCGACGACAACGGTCTGGCGGTCATCCGAGATAGCCAAGGTGCTTAGGTTTGTCATGGCCATCAGAATACCTTCAGGTCCGATATTGGCCGCATTGTCAATAGGCATAGCACCTCCGCTGCGAATACCAAACTTGATATGGTGCTGTTGGAAAGTACGAAGAGCGAATTGCACATCTTTTGCGCATTGCGGAGCGAAGATGCAAGATGGCCCCAGGTAGGTTGTTGAGGTCCAAGAATCTATGCCGAATCTGTTAGTGACACTGGATTGTCCTTAAGATAAATCAATGGCGGATTCCCACATTCATTCTCGAAACGATATCGCTCCGAGTCAGGGAAGAAAGTCTTGTCAGGGTAGGCGGAAGCCAACGCACGGCATCCGTCCTCAACGGCAGCGGATGTCACAATTGTGGCGAATAAGGCAAGTCTAAGGACAGAGTTCAGGGAAACCATTTTTCTTAACGGATCGTGACAAGCAAAAACGGTCACGATACTCAAATTGCGGTGGATGTCGGAGATATGGCGCACAATCTAATGTTCCCTAGAATAAGTGCTCTCACATTTATACATGCCTAACTTAGAGAATCACAAAGCGGATATATTACGATCGCCAAGCCCTACGAATTGCCAAGTTGTTCCTTCATCTTAAAAGAACAAGTGTTGTCTTGGCCCCTGTAGGACTGTAGTATAAGTTCGTGGAAGTATGATTAAAAGATGAACACTTGGCGCATAACTAGACTCTAGAATCCCCTGAAATCAAGTTGATCTGAGATTGTTAGTATTATGCTTTTTCACTCGAGCGGGCTGTACATATCCAGTGCAGAAGAGCCGAGTCTGTGCGGTATCCTTGCAATATGAACTCTAAGCCAGCTTGCTTGGCCACACCAAACATGAGCCTAGTTCCAGGATAGAAGATGAACGAACCTCCGAGTTGAACGCATCGTTCAATAAACACAGCTATGTCTCTCCCAACAGCTCATCCCTCTCGCTGAGATTACTTCAGAAGCCGGGCTCCATATTTGCATTCCTAGATTAAACATTATCACAACTAATATCCCCAACATGGCGACATAAAAAAACGCATCGATTTGTCAGACCGACACATCTCGGGCAGACCGGATTACATCGGAAAGACGGGCTAAAACTCTTTGACCAACAGGAGCCAATCAAGTAGCTGTCCGAGAGGTTGAGCCAAGCTGGCAGATCATTTCCTGAGGTTAAAGGCGTGGTAGATGCTTCTAGGAATTGACGTATTGTTCGGTAGCGATTGGAAGAGCTAAGATGTTTCACAAAATAGATAGTAAATTCGCCACCTGCCTAGATCGGCATCTCGGGATGCTACGACTGCGGGGCCACAAACCGAGAGCGTGAGCGAGAGCGAGTGCAACTCAATGGTCTACTGTAGGTATCAAAGCTTAATAGGCATACTATCCATGTCAACTATTCATGTTCATCAATTATACTAAATCAGTGCATTTTTGTCTGAAAGTGGTGGCAGCTTTATACATGCGTCAACCAGTTAACTTGCAACCCCATAGCTCCCTGCCGAAAGCCATTCTCAAGAAGAGAGATCCCGACATTCAGGCTACCGAATTCAACAGTTAAGAAAGTGGGATGATCATTCTACCCCCAAGTGGCTGGGAACGGAATCTGCCAAGGATTCACTGAAAAGCTGTTGTAAGCCGTCCTCAAAGCCGTAATCCGCGCCGTCACAGCAGCAGGCTGATTCTGCTGCTGCTCTATGAGCGGGATATAAACGAATAGGAAATATTTTCAGGCTTGTTAGAAGATTCAACTAAAGATAAAAGTCCGATTGCTCGACTCACTCTCAACTTTAGTCTTAGCTAGTCCATGCTGCTCACGCATGAAACTGCGCCATTTGTTGCCTAAATTAAGTCGTACATATGCCTGGGAGCCATACTGATCGTCGTTCTATGATGTAAAATATAGTCAGTATTTTGAAGATCTCATACCATCTCTACACCAACTGTGGTAATTTAAAGCTTCATTGCGATGCTAGCTATCTCGTCACTTTTGATTTCGAAGCTAACCAGGTTTCCGTACGCATCTTCAATCTGATCACTACCATGGACTTTAGCTTGCTTCTTTACCATTGCAACAGCTTAGTTTCAATCTCACAGAAACTGTCCTATTCGTGTGGCCTGGGTAACCCATGTCTGCTGAACTGCTTGGATTTGCATCTATAATCTTGGTTAATCATATACATTGAGATAACATGTCATTGATCTTACGTATTTCACAGCATTCATGAGACTCTTGCAGGTATTAATGGCATAGTGGATATCCTTGCCCTGTGCATTGTTAAAATAGTTAGTCATAGTCGTGGACTTTCGAATTGGCCCATCCCCAAAGATCCTATGATCGCAAGTCAGTCTTTCGAGAATCTTGCTCAGGACTTGCGTATTACGCCGCTTTGAGACGATTGGTATCTTTTTCAAGAAGCAGGAGCTCATCCCCGAAGTAGCCATCATTTGGAATTGCACGGGTCACGATCCAAAGGCCGTCGCCATCGATGTTCTGGTTAGTCACCCCAGTCAACTTATACGACCACCAGAAATAGAGGTATTGGCAATATTTCCACAGATTGTTGCTCGGGTCAACAGCCCCTTGTAACCGCTGCTTTCTGGTTAGAAAACTGAGTAGCCCGATATTTGTATTACAGCCTGCGCATTGCATATAGAAGCTATTCTTGAATCTTTAGGAATGAAACGATTCGATCGCTCATTCTCATGCCACTTAGAGAAGTCAACATGATGAATTCTTTCTTACAATTCTCCTCGTGGTCGGTTCCCCAGCCAATTCTTTATCTAATGCATCTCAAAGATCTGATTCTCAACATGGGTGAGTATTACTGAAACTTTGGGCAGAGTTCTCAATGTCTTCCTGTTAACCTAAATGGTAACAGGAACTCTACAGAAGAAAGATTGGCACTGGAGAAACGAGGGATGGAACTATGCCCAGTGGCGTATTCCTCCCCCGGGCAGATCCAGTATTTTGCATATCCAAGATCACTTATGATTCCATTTGGCGAGACTCTGATGCCCTCATCAACGGCAACATCAACAACTAGTAGTGGGACAGGAGGATCATCATTTGGAACAGTCACATCCACAATAGCCAGTGTCTCGCCATCAGCTACCTGCCCAGAAGACACTCCATCGTGCGACTGGGGTTCCTGTGGCGGATCCTTCAGCATCGACACCGGGAAAGCAACCTGTACAAACAGCTCCTTGGCAGGCTGCGCCTGCCAGCCGTCCGACTCCACCTGTGGTGACCCTCAGGCCTGCAATCTCAACCATTGTGACGGCGCCTTTGGAGATGAAGGTCAAGCGACTTGCCAAAACTTCTTTGCCGGGTGCACTTGTCAACCTACGGATGCGACCTGCGGCGATCCTCAGCCCTGTGGCCAGGGCGGTTGTTCTGGAACGTATGACTCCAATTCGAACACAGCACGCTGTCGCGGTACACGCTGTCGCGGTAACTTTGCAGGCTGCAAGTGTGAGCCCACAGCAGTGACGTGCGGGAATCCACAGCCTTGCAATCGCAATGGGTGTCGAGGCACCTTCGACGCGAATTCCAATACAGCCCACTGTCGTGGCAACTATGCCGGCTGTGAGTGTCTTCCCGCAGATGACACTTGCGGCACGCCACAATCTTGTGACGCAAACGGCTGCAAAGGTTCATTTGACCCCAATAGCAACGGCGCAAAATGCCGGGAGAACTTTGTCGGGTGCCGATGCATTCCTGATTCTGGAACTTGTGGCGATCCGCAGTCATGCGGCTCGAATGGATGCGCCGGGGCCTATGATTATGGCAGCAACCTCGCTCGTTGCACGGGGAACTTTAACGGCTGTGCCTGTAAGCCAGCTGGCAAGACATGCGGCTCGCCTCAGAGTTGCGACGCAGGCGGTTGTGGCGGATCCGTGAATAACCAGAACACGGGCGATGCTACGTGCAAGAAGGCGTACATCGGCTTTCCGTGTACTGCCAAAGACAGCACACCAAACAACTGCAGAACTCTCCAAAGCTGTGACTTTGCAGACTGCAATGGGCACGTGAACCCGGGTTCAAACCTTAGGACTTGTACTAGAGGCTCGCACAAAGGGTGTGGATGCACGAAGCCGTCTGGGGGAAGTGGCAATGGACAAGGGCACACCTGTCCTGTAGGTTATCCCAAGGGGGAAGATTGCCTGGCATTGATCAACCATCTGCCAAGCTCGCTTCTGCAGCTCAAAAACCCAGGGATCTGTTACTCAGACGGGGGGAACCGCTGGTGCGATTTTGTGACATGGGGAACGTGCCAGCTGAGCCTGGGATATAAAGTCGCAAATGGTAATGCACTGTGAGTTCCCTGATAGCTTTCTCTTGCTGACAGGGTGGATTCTTGTTGTGACAGTGTTTGCTAACTCACGACTTCCGAGACTACCCCCTCCCCAGGAATGGGTCGTGAAGAGCGTCGCCAACCAGATTTTCGGTAGCCAAGGTTGCTATGGCGCTGGCAAGTTGACGACTAATCAGGGAGGAACATCTCTTCCGGTGCTAATTTGCCTTAAGCAGGTTGGCTATGACTGCAAGTAATCGAGAATTGGTGCTGAGAAGAATAGGGAATCAACGGATATGCTCACGATGATGTTCCACAAGGTGAATGCCGCAGTCGCGATATAGCTCAGGTATAGAATTTGAAGCGCGAAAAATCGACACAAATAAGAAGCAGGATTAAGTCCATAGCTTTAGACACTAAGTTGGGGGAGCATGGTCTTACTCCTGCCAGCAGTCAGGTGACTT